TGCTCCCGCTGCTCCCGCTGCTGCTCCCGCTGCTGCTCCCGCGCCGCTGCGGGCTGCGCTCCGCGGGAGGGCGCGCACCGGGCGGCGGCGGCGGCGGCGGCAGCAGCATCCCCGGACGGCGCCTCCGCGCCGGGGGCTCCGCGGTGAGTTGGGGGCGGCGCGCGAAGTTGGTGGCGCGGGGTGTGTGTCGTGGTGCTCTGTGTATGCGTGTAAAGATATATATATGTATACACACATATGTGYGTGTATATATGTGCACTGCACTTGCCCCCCGCCGCGGGCGCGCAGCGCTGCGGGGCGGCGCGGGAGGGCGCAGCCCGGCGGCCATTTGACCATTTCAGAGGGTTTTTTTTTTAATTTTTTTTTTTTTTTTTTGGGGGGGGGGGGAAGCGGGGGAATTGTATCCCCCTGAGGTGCGGGCAGGGATCGGGCCCCGCTCCCAAATTCCGGCGCGCGGCGGCCCCGCTTTGCCTTTCCCTCGGCGCGGCATCCGCGCCGCGGCTCGGCGCTCCTCGGCAGGAAGGGATGTGCGGCGGGAAGAGCAGGGTCCGCATCCCAGAGCGCGGCAGGAGGGCTGCGGGCGCAGCCCGCGGAGCGGCTGCCTGCGGAGCGCGCCGCGGAGCACTCATTCCTCCTAGTGCTTCCAAGAGTAAAAAAAAAAAAAAAAAAAAAGACAAACTGTCATAGCAAAAAGTTGTGCAGCGAGAATGTTGCGTACGCTAATGGACCCAATTATCGGAATAAACAAACGTGGTGATTTATAGGTGTCTGGGCTATAATGCTTTGAATGATGGAGCTCTTTAACCTTCCTTTCTAATCTGTCCCTCAGAGATTCAGGTTTGAGCAGAGAAATATATCATCTGTGATGCTGAATACTTGAGTTGATTACAGTTGTAAAAGGAATGGGCTTAGAAATAATACTGAGCCATTAAGCAACAAATGCAAAAGAGAGAAAGAGCAAAGAGAATTTTGGCAGAAAAGATTTTTTTCCCTTTGCAGCAGCTTTGCTTCATTAACTTTTATCCAGACTATCTCATTTTATTAAATTAAACTTCAAACAAAATAAGGGTTTTCTGTGTGAAACCAGAGGCTAATCCTCCTTAGTCCTGTTGAAGTCTGTCTCTGTTGCAGTTAAATGATGCTTTGAGCGGTGCCTGCTAAGAGAATTTGCAGAGGCAAACACAGCTCAAGATTCCCAGTATGGAAATGCAAGCACTTGGGTACTGTGATTGTATTGTGGATTCTCATAGACAATACAGAAACATACTCTAAGAACTCTAAGAGGTTTTATTTTACATTTTTTAAAAAATCAGTCCAGATAAGTATAGCTCTATGTGAAATGCATAGCTTTATTATAACAAAGTGGCCTGCTCTTACTGGGAAAGTGATAACTTAGTTCATTTTGCAGGGGCCAAATATTGCTGCCTGTGGAGCATCTCCTGTTAGGACTGAGTGTCTTTTACTCCCATTGAAAAAATTCCCCAGCTCAATATGAATAGTGTCCTGCAGGCTGGCAGTACAGGCACAATTCTGCCTTTCACCAGTGTTGCAACACAAGACTGTATTAACATGTAATCAATATTCAGCAATCATATTGCTTGTATGAGTAAAGGTTGTGAGATAAGACACTCAAGCATCTCAAGTGTCTTTTGTTCAGTGAAATGCCACTTAATGAGGGAAAAAAATGAAATCCACAAAATCTGCTGTATTTTAAGGCAGAGTGCTCCTCATGAACCTCATTGCCAGGCATATGACTGTGAACGTTGACAGGCATGAAGATTCAAATGCAAACCTACCCCAGGTAGTTGAGGTACCTTCAGTGCTGTCCCTCCGGCACATCTCTACCTGCGCAGCACTGGGTCCTCCTGAGGTCCCTTGGGACCTCTGCATCCCACTTGCCTTCTCCTCTAGGTGACTATGGGCAGCATCAGTGAAATAAGCCGTGTTTAAGAGCAGTAATGCCCTGCTTTTGGTGGGACAGCAGGCTGAGCGTGGCCTCCTTGGGCKCTGGTGGCTGCAGGGTAGCTCCTATAAGGGCCCCAGACATCAACACGGGGGCAAGCAAGCGAAGGGCCTCGCTCCTTCCCCTCTCTCTGTGTGTGGGGCAGACAAGTTTTAACTCAAGTAGCCGCAGTGGATTCTTAGAACGGATAAATAGTGCCTTGTTGCGGCCCTCCTGAGTCATATGGAGGCAGTGCTCATTTTAGACAGGATGAATGAACAGGCAGCGTGAAGGATGAAGATGGGCTTTGTTAATCACTCTGCAAGTTTTCTATGGGAAAGAATGAACTCAAAAGAAGGATATCCATAAATGCCATTTAAATATTTGCAAAACCTGAGAAAAATTTCATACTGGAGGCAGGGCAAGGACCTAGTCCTGTGTAGGTTGCTGCCAGAGATACCAAGGACCCATACAGCAGCRTTGGCCCGTTAGCAGTGTGCTACTTTCCAAGTACTTTGTTAGCAGTAACAACAAGCTCTTCTTCAGCACAACCTGTGGAAAAAGACTGTTTTTGCTCAAGTGATGATGAAACATTAGGGAACCATGTTTGCTTAAACTCTTGTGCTTCAGGTGTGATTCACTTTTAACTTGTTCCTGGGGAAGTTTGCCAGCCTTTGTTGCCTGCTGATTTGCGTGGTGATTCACGCATTCATCCGCTTTCGGTTTGTGGCTGTTCAGGTCTCCAGGGTGAGGAGGAATTACTCCAGGTGGGAAAGTCCTCCCCTCTGCCCCATAAATCACTAGGAATGGTAGGAATTGTTCTGTGCTCATCACTGATTTCAGAATTCTCACAAAATTTTCCCTTGGCCTCTTCCGGTTCTCAGAACRTGATGCAAACCTCTTCTGAAGAGAAAAAAAAAAATCTGTGTTGCTTTCATGTAAGTATGATGAGGGCAAGTCTTTGAAAATATAGCTTGGCTAATATTGATAAATAAACTAGCTTGACCAGAATAAATCTTTTCATCTCACTTCAAGAGCCCCACTGTAATGAAGCAAATGTAGGATGTGCTTTATGTGCTCCTTTCATCTGAGTGCAGAGCAAACCTTCTAAAGTATTGCAAACAAATCTGAAAAGGATTGCCAAGTGGCTTTTCTTTTTTCATCCTGCATTGGGGAGATTTAATCTTTTCAGGATTCAGGGGGGATAGTGTGTCCTGCTGGTGGCGGCTCTGTTGAGGTGAGCACTAGTGGGAGCAGGAAGGGGCAGAGAGCACTTCAAGAGCTTCCTGCAGCTTCTTCCTCCAGAGTAGCCCAATTCAGAGACCTTTTGCTCAGTGCAGGTTGCGTGAAGAGAGCGTATATGACCCCAAATAACTTCCCTCTGATCTACATTGGGGCCTCTTGGCTGCCGTTTTGGGTCCTGCACTGATCTGGCAGCGCATTGGGAGCCTTGCTCTGCAGCCTTCGTCCTGGCTCTGCCCATAGCCCCCTCCAAGGACTCATAGAGTGGTTAAGTCTGGTCTGAAAGGTGGCTCTGGGACCACCTCGACAGCCAGCGCAGATCCAGTCCTGGATGTGCAATTGTGTAAAGACAAGTATCGTTCATTTAAMAGATAGAAGAGTAATAAGTGCCTTGCTTGGAAAAGGAGGCCTCCAGAACTCTTGGTTCTGGAGAAGAAGCACTTTAGCAGGTGTTTTTTGTTTGTTTTTTAAACAAGAAATTTTCAGAAATTKTATTCAAAAGAGGGTGATAGAATATGTTTAGAATATCTTGAAAATAAAAATATTTAGACAAACATGTTAGCATAATTACAGAATTTCTACAGAATAAGCTCTTCTTTGCTGAGATTGTAAGTAGTGGGAAATAATATGAAGACTGATTTCTTTGAGTATTAAAAGAATTTGAGGAAATAGCTTTTAATCCAGCAGAATACTGTACTTTAAAAACATGGTTGTRATTGACTAACACCCGCATTCAGCCCAGTACCTGACACGGCGAGAAGCCAGAGATCCAATTTAGCTCGTGGCTGGTGCGTTGCGCCATGCGCGCGGAAGTGAAACGTATTGAAAACSGTTCAGCTTTGGACGTGCTCATCTGGGGATTTACTCATAAATAATTGATAACACAGGGAAACCAAATCTCTTCATTACTTCTTGGAAGCTTCACCTCTCGCCTCCCGCRTGCGTTGCTCTTGCGGGCGCCTGGGGAGGTGATGGCTCTTCCTTAATGAAGGTGTCGGGCAGCCCCCATCGCTCCCTTCAGCAGGTCACCCACCTAAGCATCAGAAATAAAATGCCTGGTGAAAGATCAGCATTTTATTGCCCTGTGGGGAAAGGTGGCATGGCAGTGTTTTGGAGGGAACCGCTTAGCCACTGTGTTGAAGGTTTCCTTCCATCCTGTTGCAGAGACGGCGTGTGTGATGAATCACTAAATCAATGCAATGCCTGCACCTAGTGCGCTGTGGGATAGCGTGTCAAATTAACTGTTATTTGACATGCAGTACCAATTACAACTGGGATATTTGGGCTTGATCCTTCCAAATTTTACTGCCGCTCAGTATCCTTTCTTAGCCTGTTGAGTGCAGTGGAACAAGTGCTCACTTTATGAGCACTGGTTTCTCACCTGAGCAAGGCTGTGCATGGTTGAGCACCAGTTTACCAGACGCTGAAGCATAATGATGAATTTCTTTTCTTGGGGGGAAAAAAAAGGCATTATGCTACACACAGACCTACTAAAATGGATTGATTTGATCCAGAAAAATCTTATTTTAAAGGAAAATTTGTTAATGTAACAGAAAAAGTTCATCTTTTTTGATGACTTGATTCCTTTAGAATTATTTGCCAAGTTAAGTAACAGACTTGTAAGGTGCTAATATTTGCTTCCAGTTTAATAGCCCGAACTGTTGCTAATGTATGGGAAGTGTTCAAATGGCATCATTAAGGGAGAAACCTAACAAATCTTACAGCTATTTTAATGTCAGCTTTCAGATGTTACTCTTATTTAATTGAAAGGTAAATGCTATAAAGGCTTTGTGAGTCTGCTCTTTTCAGGTGACAGTGGTTGGTGGGAGTAAATCTAAGTCCCAGTGTGCTGATCCCAGATGTCAGCTTCAGGCTTCGTTGTTTGAGGCCTTCCRTTTTCATCTGGCAGAAATGTGCATCTGTTGGGTCATGGAAGTTTGCAGCTTTCAAAAAACACTG